CATTCTATTCTATTCTGCATTCCATTCCATTCTATTCTATTCTGCATTCCATTCCATTCTATTCTATTCTGCATTCCATTCCGTTCTATTCTATTCTGCATTCCATTCCATTCTATTCTATTCTGCATTCCATTCTATTCTATTCTATTCTATTCTGAATTCCATTCTACTCCATTCTATTCTATTCTATTCTGCATCCCATTCCATTCTATTCTATTCTGCATTCCATTCCATTCCGTTCTATTCTATTCTGCGTTCCATTCCATTCTATTCTATTCTATTCTGCATTCCATTGCATTGCATTCCATTCTAGTCTATTCTTCATTCCATTCCATTTCATTCCATTCCATTCTATTCTATTCTGCATCCCATTCCATTCCATTCTATTCTACATCCCATCCCATTCCATTCCATTCCATTCTATTCTATTCTGCATTCCATTCCATTCCGTTCTATTCTATTCTGCGTTCCATTCCATTCTATTCTATTCTATTCTGCATTCCATTGCATTGCATTCCATTCTAGTCTATTCTTCATTCCATTCCATTTCATTCTATTCTATTCTATTCTATTCTATTCTGCATCCCATCCCATCCCATTCCATTCTATTCTATTCTGCATCCCATTCCATTCCATTCTATTCTACATCCCATCCCATTCCATTCCATTCCATTCCATTCTATTCTATTCTGCATTCCATTCCATTTCATATGGAACCCAACTGGATGTATCTAACTAACTAACTGGTTGCTACTTCAAACTATAAGGTGGAAGAAACATTGATACTGTAATTGTGATTTTTCTCTTAATCATTTAGAGGCTGCCTAAATGATGAGAAAAACATTCTGGCATATTTCCATCTCCCATGAAATGGGAATACAACGAAGTCTGAATCTATCTTCCACCCATGTTTGAATCAAAACACAGTGTCAGGGCATAGAGAATAAATAAATCAAAACACAAACACACACACACAGACACAGAGAGAGAGAGAGAGACCACTCTAAGCACAAAGTAATCAGTGGTAAATGAGGCTGACCTTTCCTCTCTGTTCTGGTTTTGTCTCCCTGCAATTATTGAAGCAAGACCATCCTTCCTTGAAGACTATCATCAAACATTTTGTTCTAGGAGCTCTCTTGGCTGTAGTTTGGCCAAAAACTACTTAGGAAAAGACTTTTATAATAGTGGCTCTTTTCTTCCTGGATAGGCTTCTTGAAGATTTCCCCAATTATGTCCAGCACAAATATTTCAGTGCCAGGAAAAATCTTATTATCTCAGGCCTTTTGATCTTCTCATACAAATAGTCCTGGAGTTACAACCACAATTGTAGTCCAACATTTCTGTTGCTAAATGAAACAGTTGTTACGTGAATTTTGCCCAATTTTGAGACCTTTCTTGCCACAGTTGTTAAATGAATCACTCCAGTTATTAAATTAGTAAGATGATTGTTAAATGAATCTGGCTTCCTCGTTGATTTTGGTTGTCAGAAGATGTCAAAAGATAATCAAATGACTCGCAGATACTGCAATCATCATAAATATAAGTCAATTGCCAAGTGTCTGAATTTTGGTCATGTGACCATGGGGAGGCTGCAACGGTCATAAGTGTGAAAAACAGACAGAAATCACTTTCAGTACCATTGTAACTTTGAATGGTCACTAAATGAATTGTTGCAAGTTGTGCACTACCTGTAGCAGTGGTTTTTTTTTAAGAGGTTTAATTCTCGGGTCTTCTTAAATAATGTGTGTGTTTTTAATGTGGTTATTCTCAGATGTTATTCTATTTCTAATCTACGGTTTTATTTGAATGTGCTTTTCTTTCATTTATATGGATTGATCTGTGTTTTTATTTTACACTGCCCCTAGATGTACCAGCTACAGCCAGCCAGTAAATCTTAGAAAGAAATCACAGCATGCCACTTTACATGTCTACGGAGAAGCAAGTCAAATTTTATTTTGTGGAATTTACTCGTAGTTATGTAGGTATTGTATTGGACTCATAAATATTGCTCTCTACTGCAAGGAAAGTTTTCATCCATCTCCACTTCAGATGAAAGTTCTGCTAGTTTATATCTTTTGATTCACCTTTTGGAATGTGACCATTACATGTTGTCCATACCTGGATAAGCCTCTCTAAAGAATGAAGAATAACAGAGTTGGAAGGGACCTTGGAGGTCTTCTAGTCCAACCCCTTGCTCAAGCAAAAGACCCTGTAGCATTTCAGACAAATGGTGTCTAATCTTTTCTTAAAAACCTCCAGGGATGGAATGCCCCAACTTCTGAAGGTGACCTGTTCCACTGTTAATTGTTCTCACTGTCAAGAAATTTCTCCTTAGTTTTAGGTCACTTCTCTCCTTGATAGTCTTGTTCTATAGTCTTGTTCTAGACCTAACTCAGTCTCGGTAACCTCCAAGTGTGTGGACTTTACACACACATACACACACAAAGACCAGAATTCCTAGCAACGCTTCTGTTGGTTGGAGAATTCTGGAAAATGGGAAAAACTAAGTTTGATGGAAACTGATCAAGGACAGAAGCAATCTAGAACTAAAGAGAAATGTCCTCACAATGAGAACAATCAATCAGTGGAACGGCTTGCCTCCTGAATTTGTGGNCTAGCCTACAGGCCCCTGTCCCCACCAGCCAGCCCCAAAGCCCTGCCGTTCTTCCGCCTCTGCTCAGAATAACACAGCAAGGTGATGGCTGGAGCCTTAGTGCAGGAGAGAAGCCGAGTCCTTTTGCATCCTGTTAAGACCCTCCTTAAGTGAGCAGCCACCTGCCCTGCGTGCGTCTTTGCTGTGCTTTGGTGCTCGCTTGAGGGGTGTCTCCCTGCACACGCACACCCTCCCAGCTGCACAAAACAGATAGATTGTGTGTGTGTGTGTGTGTGTTTGTGTGTGTGTGTAGAGGGGACATGGATCATTTGGCACTGAGGGAGAAGCAGCTGCAGCAGTGGGAAAGCGAGGCTTCTTTGCCAGCCTCCCAGCTGACAAAACAGAAATTTTCGCTGGTTCTGTGGGCATGGCTAGGTGGGGGGGCATATGAACTGAGTGGGCATGGGCGTGAATGACATCAAGTTGGCCACTCCCACTCAGTCACATGCCCCCATCTAGCCACACCCACAGAACCAGTAGTAAAAAAAATTTGAAACCCACCCCTATTGGGGTTCCCTCTTCTAGGGCCTTACCTAAAAGTGAACAGAAGGACCAAAAACACCTCCCCACCAGCGATTCAACACCAAGATGAGCAGAGATTATCTCCAAGATTAACATCATACCAACAGTCAAGAAGTAAACAATACCCCAATCAAGGAACAAACTAACAGTAAACTGCCCAACCAAGCAACCTCTAAGATCACTCCCCGCAACACTGACATCGCAAGCTACTAGATTAACAAAGGCAGGGAATGAATGAATGAATGAATAAATGAACTAACCAACCAACCATCTGTCAGTAAGTCAGCCAGTCAGTCAATAAGTCAATAAATCAGTAAATATCATTTTCCTCATTTGTACCCATTGAATTAATGGGCAATGCTAAGTAGAAGAATATGTAGACTGTACACAACTTTGCAGGATTGATCTATGGACAAGAGGGAAACAAAAATAGCCCATCTTACTCTGTTGAAATCTACTTGTCCTCTTCAGGCTAACGTCTCCTTCTTGGCATCCCTTCTCTCCTTCTTCCCATCGCCTGACTTGCTCTTCCCTCATCTTGTAAAAGAGGATGTGTTTCTGTTCTTCGTTCAGCTCCGCCAGAAGCTCCGGATCGATGTACAGGTCTCGCAAAATTTGCTGCAGCATGGCCAGGCTGAGCTACCAGACAGGTAGAGTCTTCAAAAAGCAAGGAGAAGGGAAGAAAGGAGGCTCAGCTTAAAGTCACTCAAGTTCCGTCCAAGCCTACCGGGTGAAAATCCGATATTTTTTTTCAGAACCAATGAGGGAAAAACAAAACAGAAGGGGGGATACTTCTGGTAAGTGTTGTGGGGTTCCTTCCTATCCCCTGGCATTCCTTTAGGGATCCCAAAAACAACTCTTGAGGGTTTCATCCATCAACAGATATGGCATAAGAAGGTTGGAGCCAAGGCTTATTGTATGTGCCCAAAAGGCAGACAAGAAACAAGAGATGTTTGCTCGTTAGTTGCCGGAGGAGAGTTCAGAATGTTTTTAAAATCAGAATATGGCACCTGGTTTCTGCTCCGTGTGTAGTACAGTACCCGGCATTGCACCGAGTATACATCCCTCTGCTGCTTTTCCCCCCCTTTTTTTTAATCAGTGATGTCATGGGTAAAAGTAACAGCTACACCAGTGATATCCATGTCATCTCCGAGAACTGATCTCCCCTTGGAATAGATGAACACCTGAATCCCTTCATCGCTGTAACCTATGCTACCACCTGCTCACTCCAGGGTCATGTTTAGTTACTGTCAACAATACACAACACACAACAAAAACACCAGCACAGTGATTCAGCATCCGCTAATGAAAAATGATTTCTCATCTTGCAGAAAGGGATGGAGAGAAAGATGGAGGGAGGCTGCCTTTCCAGATTCATAGGGCAGGTAATTAATATTAATTTAGCCTTTGGCAGCTGAAGTGCGCTAAGTCTTTTCACCCATCAGTGTATTTTCCATTGCAGGGAAAGAGAAGGAAACAAGATTGCTTTTTAAGCCAACAGTGACCTTTGGCTGCTTACTGGCATTTTCTTATTCTTAATGAAATAATATTGATGGCTCTTTAGGATCTCTGTTAAAATAACTCAGATGCCACTTTTTATTGCCTGCAATGATCCCAAGTTGTCAAGCAGCACAAAGTTCAGCTTCCCAAAGTTGATACCTTTATGAAGTCCCGTCAGAATGGCATCAAATCAGAGAGAAATTCTCAGAGGGAAATGGACCTATATAGCCTGATCCCCGCCCCCATTTCCTAGTCCACATTTGGATCCCATTTAAAGATCTCCAACTGCAAATGGAATAAGCAGAACCTTTAGAAGCGCTCTAGAGTTACACATAGGATTCTGAGATAAGGAAGGAACATGTTTCCCTAATTAACAATAACCAGAGATTTTAGAATAGAATAGAATAGAATAGAATAGAATAGAATAGAATAGAATAGAATAGAATAGAATAGAATAGAATA